CCCCCAAAACCCCAAAACCCCAAAACCCCTAAAGAGATATTTAAATTGAAATCATTATAAATTATTTATGTCAGACATCAAAGATCTGCCAAAGGTGGTTATGCTTGCACGTGAGAATGCAATTTTAGGAAACTACAATGAAAGCATCAAGCATTACCAGGATGGAGTGACTACGATTCATAATTTAATGGGTACTCATGCTTCAAAAGCTACTAAAGAACAATGGAAGGTAGTTGAAAGTGCGATTCAGAACGAATTAGGTAGGAATTTTGAATTGAGAAATATAGCCAATGTCAAAGAAATTGTGTCTATTAACGAAGGCTTCACAAACAACTTTGGAATGGGACCAAAGCCTGCTCATGGTGGTGGCGGTGGAAGGATGCTAAGGAATGATTTTACGAGTGTAGATATCAATGCTCCAGAACAGAGTTATATGATGAAGCCTCCTATTCCGGTTCCTGTTGCTAAGAAAGCTCCTAGTTTTGAGAGATTTGGAGGAGCTGAGCCTTTTGCGCATCATAAAGGTGACCCAGTTCAGTACTATGGGAAAGATATAGATGATTATGGAGAAAATGGGAATAATTATTTTGTGAAAAATAGAAATCCGAGAATTTTCCAGGAAGAGAAAGACCCTGATATATGGGATCCTCCTTCCCCTCCGAAATATAGCCAAGTGAACAAGAGGCAGCCTTCAAAGTGGAATAATAATAAAAGAAAACCTCATTTGAAGAGAGGAGGTAGTCAAAAGAGACCTCCTCCGGCTCCCTCTGCTCCAAAGCCTAATATGGAAGAAAATAAGAGAAACTATGAGAAGCCGTGGGCTGTCGAACCATCAAAGAAGAAATCAGGAGGGAAATCAAAAGACTCAGATTCCTTCTTATACCATTGATATCCTGACGGAGTTGGACCAGATACTGATTTAATTGAGATGCTTGAGAAAGATGTTCTAGATAAAAATCCTCAAGTCAGTTTTGATGATATAGCTGATTTGGATGATGCCAAACATACTTTACAAGAAGCTGTATTGTTACCAATCCTAATGCCTCAGTACTTCAAAGGTATAAGGAGACCATGGAGAGGGGTCCTTTTGTTTGGACCACCAGGTACCGGTAAGACAATGCTTGCTAAAGCAGTGGCTACTCAGGGGAAGACCACTTTCTTCAATGTATCAGCTTCAAGTCTTGCCTCGAAATGGAGAGGTGAATCGGAAAAGTTAGTCAGGCTTCTGTTCGAAATGGCTAGATTCTATGCTCCAAGTGTGATCTTCATTGATGAAATGGATTCTATTGCATCGAAAAGATCGTCAAATGAGCACGAATCGAACAGGAAAGTGAAATCTGAGCTCTTGATCCAGATGGATGGAGCCAATGTTGCTAGCAGTGCAGGAGGAGATGAACAGTTAGATGATAGCGAAAGAGGCAAATCAGTCCTAGTCCTTGCAGCAACTAACCGGCCATGGGACTTGGATGAGGCTATTAGAAGAAGGCTTGAAAAGAGAATATACATCCCATTGCCTACAACTGAAGGGCTCAAGCAATTGTTCAAGATCAATCTGAAAGGAATCAGAGGAGGTAGCAGTATCAAAATTGAAGAGCTTCTTAAATAAATGTAAAGGTTTCTCAGGAGCTGACATAGCAATTCTATGTCGTGAGGCAGCTATGATGCCTATGAGGAGGAAGCTAGCCTCTGGGAAAGTTAATTTTCAAGAACTAGTCAAAATGGAAAAAGAGCTTGATGTTCCAATTGAGCTACAGGATTTCAAAGAGGCTTTGAAGAATATCTCAAAATCAGTGAGCAAAGAAAATTTGCTAGATTATACTAAATGGATGGACGAATACGGATGAAAATAATAATTATCAGAAGTTTCAATTTATGAAATTCTTCAAGGGGTTTTGGGGTTTTGGGGTTTTGGGGTTTTGGGGTTTTGGGGTTTTGGGG